GACTTCTTCACAACAATAGAAATGCCTTCCAAAACAACAAGGTGAAATTGTTGGTGTTGACATGCCAAAATGAACAAAATGAGGGTTGTCAAGAGTCTGCAGTTCCGGCCGTGTTGTTTCAGCAGACATCGGATTCTTAGTCCCTAAAAGACTCAAGTTGTGAGCCAGCCACAGTCCCCGTCCACACCACACATCCGTCAATCCCCTTGATATTGAGCATATCATGAAAGGTCGAGGTTCTCAGCCATTCTCTCCTTTCATTTAAGCGCCCTCATTGTGAAAAGGCAGAGTTTGTGTGAGTGTTTGTGTGTCTTAGACTAGGGAGAAAATGAAAGACTCCTTTGGTAAACAGAAAAAATGACAGACTTGACTAGAATCTAGTGGTGGGTGGGTATACACACCGCCACCCACCACCACCCGTCACATGTTCTCTCATCAGGCCGAGCCTGCACTTCCGAAAGCGGGCGAGACCGCAAAGCAGGCGAAGCAGGCAGCCTGGCAGAATGGCAGTGGCCGCGAAAGTTGTATTTTAGTGCATTGAAAGCAATTTTGCAAAAAGCGCCCTTGGGTGGTTAATACCTCAGCATGGAAGAGTATTGTAGCAAGCCAGTAATATGTCAATATATATATATACATGGATTGGGAAGGACCCACCGAAAAGGAGTAGCCAGGAGGTTCTCCACTTGCTATTTGTGCATGTCCTCTCTTGAGCAAGACATGGTTGGCAAGGTTTGTAGCTTTGGATGATGAGAAACAGCCTGACAGCTTCCTCCATTCACCAGAACATGTGTTCAAATGACAATAAGAATGTGTGGAGTATGGATAGCAGTTAACTCCTGGACCCTACGGAAAGATTATACATCTGATAGTTTGGAGATGTTTGGAGATGTTGGTCTTGAGACAGAATGACAACTCAACAGAGACTCTGGGCCGGGACTTGCGTGTATCTTCTAGTTGTGACTGTAAGTCACAATTTGAAGGAAGCAAACCAAGCTCCTCCAATCTCTTACATGGTCCAGAAGGCAGTGTCACAAGAAACCAATGTGTGCGGTTTGTGCGTGCAATGTCTTGCATGGCTTGCCAAACTGGTTGGAAAATCATTGAAAAACAGCTATCCGTATGAATCATGGAGCCCTAGTATCCTCATTGGGCATATTCCTGGGATGGTTTTAAGATTTTAAAGTTTAAACTACCAAAGATAGCTCCATTCCGCCTACAGCCAGGCCCCAGCCCCAGCGGCCCAAGCAACACCTGCGCGTGAAGCGGCCTGAAGCCGAGAACAGACTCTTGAGAGAGATCAAGTGCCACTTCGGAGAGCAAGGAACCTTACAAACGCCTCACATCGAGGAGTGTTGCTCCTTCGATCCTACGAAAGGTACAGTTGTTCCTTCTGCTTATTGAGGCCTCTACGGCCTCACCTGCACAGTCGACTGCCCCTGCCAGTGCAGCCAGGGGCAGAGATATGGTGTTGACTGTCAGATTGAGTCAGATTGTTTTTTGTTGTTACAATTCTTCAGAGTAAGGCACTGTATGAATCGGTGCATCACTGGTAGCAGGCATTTTAGAACTAGGGAGTACAGCGGGGTCACAATGACACGGTGAGAAGCTGGAAGAAACCTTCTTTGTGCATGCCATGTCAGCATTGTTTGGAATTGTGACTTCGGTAACTTCCGTGTTGGCTTATGCAACCCTGCATGTTGTATATGTTTTCGTGCGATCGGCACCAAGTGTTTAGCTCAGACAAAAAGAACACTCAGAAAAAAAAAGACTGTCAGCATCTCAAGCCAATCAGCGCCACCGAAGACTGCACTTGGATATTTTGGAGCAGAAATGGGTGGTCGTGCAAATCGACAGTGAAATAGCTTCATGCACAGTTGGGTAGCATGTTCGAGTCATTTTGTCGATGTGCCAGCGTCAATCTTCCCAACTTTGAAATGAAGGACGCCGACGCCGGCATCCTTTTGATTCGGTTGACCGGTTCCAAGGGTTTTCTATATAAGTAGTATTGTACAGTCATTCTAGGGAGATAGGGTGTTGACCATGTCAATTGAACACACACAACCTTTCTTCACTGGGAGCAGTCCAGACGCAGTTTCAGATCATTCGATCGCTAAGATATCCTGGTCATTGCCGGGCTCCGAAATAAGCAGTGCTTGCCTTCGCTATAGGCCAAAGCTTCCCAGCCAGATGTGGAAGAGCCTCCTGCCAAGCGGGCGAAGCAGGTCTGGGGCTCAGTCTTTTACCCAATTCATTGTCAACCAGGATGGCATAACTGCTAGTAGAGAGCGGTAATTAAACTAAACCCTTCATCTAAACCATGGCCAGGATGGACACAAGTTCAGACCTGCATGATGAGAAAAACCTATCAGAGTTTGCACCTTTGGACAAACAACAACATAGCAAGCTAACTAATTTGGAAGCAGTCCTTGGCCCGTTGGCGGGGGAAAGCTATCCTGACCCTTCAGTGCTTTCAGTATCAAGTAGTCCAGGGACCCATCAATTCACTGTATATCAGTACCCATTCCTCAAGAACTGTACAGGAGGCTTTGAGGTTTAGGGTCTCTTTGCCTTGCACGCCCAGTGTCTCTGCTGCTCGACAAGTCTGTGAGGCACCAGTGGCACCACCAGCTGCCAGTGGGGCGGCCGAAGCAGCCTGGAGCAGAGATGTTGGCATTTTAGAACGACAGATCCAGAACCCGCAAACAAAAACGAGATACAGTAGTTCTTTTGTTCTGGAGAACTGAGCTGAGCAAGATTTGAACTATGTGTAGGAATTCAACATGCTCAATGATAGCAGATAATATGTCGAGAAATCCTTCAAGCGTCAACAGTTGCGCGTTCGCACACCATTTTGACCGAGGCACCACCTCCAAAGGCAGAGCAGCCTGCTAGCCAAGTGTCTCACTCAGTTGGAAGATCCTAGCTTAAGATAATCCAATAGAATATTGTAATCAATGCTTTCCTGAAAGGGAACATATTGTCGAGTTTCGCACACCGATGCTATAAGGGTGCGCATAAGCGCGCCAAGAACACCTATATAGATTTGAGAGTCAGGAAGACAGCCAGAGAATTGTTTAGTTGATTAAATTGTGGTTTATGTTTTGTTTTATGAAAATGTTATGAAAACTAATTGGTCCTCAGTTTTTGGAGATTCCACATTTATGATTTGTTTATGTTATTTTTGTATTTTGTATTTTTTTTTGTTTATGAATTATGTTGTGTTTTTTAAATGATGTTTTTTCTGATTTTTGTTTTATGGATTTTCACCAAATCGACAAAATTCATAAACTATGCATAAATGTTTCATAATATTTCATAAATTGTTCATAAATTGTATGTTTTACGATTCTCTACAAATCGTAAAGAAAGTAACAAAATTTATGAACGTTTTAAGATGTTCTAATGAACAATGATTAGTTCTATATTATTGTTTATGAACAATTTATGTTTTTTTAATGAACCTTTTAAGATTTTGTTGAGCACATCAAGAAATCATAAACTAGGTTACAGTATTTTAAAACATATAAATTGTTCTTTAAAATTATAAAGTAAAAAAATGTTCATAAATGCGTTTAATATGTTTTCATAAATAAATCATAAAAATAAAAATATTTGGAAAACCATATTTCCTAGCCTCTCCCCAACTCAATATAGACAATACAAGGAACATGATGTAAGGCACTGCTGATGGAAATGATTTCCTTGATACAGGATAATACAGGATTTGTGAGGAAGATCAAATACCAAGTAGTGTAAGATGCCACTGCTTCAACCAAGACACCGAACGAAAAAAACGGAAACAGCAGACCTTATGGCATCGCAGATGTGCGAAGCGGTTTGCAATTGTATTTGTACAGTAAGTGGTTTCCAAGAGAAAGTTCTTGTGTTTGCTAGCGCGACCAGAAGGAAGGCCTCGTGTTTTCTTGGTTGAAAGCATCTTTCGCGAGACAGTTTTTGCCATGCTTCTATATAAATGGTAAGGCACAGGTTGCCAAAGAAGATGCGCCCATGAGCGAAGCCGTTGGAAG